GGGGGGGGGGGGGCAGAATATGTATGTCTTTAGTTTTCAAAAAATTCATCAACTCAGACTCGGTGGGGATTTAAAAAAACCCACACAAAATAAATGGGGGAGGACCCCCCTGTGAATTTGTAATGATCACGAATGTTTCAGTTTTAACCCCACATCGACACAATCTAGGCCACATGGGGTATGTGTATGTCAGTTTGAGAAACATAACAGACAGACAGTACAGAAGACAAGTAACAGAAACGGAACAGACAGACTGTACAAAAGACAAGTAGCCTAACAGAAACAGAACAGACAGACTGTACAAAGAACAGACAGACAGTACAGAAGACAGGTTATAGGGAGACATAACAGGCAGTACTGGAGCAGCAAGATTCTTGTCAGTTTGAGTAAAAAAGAGGCACATCGACACAATAACAGTCATATTTTAGTGATGGTAGAAAAGTCAGACATTCATGCAAAAACAAATGAGTAAAAGGAAAGAAGAAGATCAGTCCAGTGGTACCCTCCAACCACCCACTAGTAGATTTTGGGTGCTAGAATAAGAGAAAAACTCACACAAGCAAAAAAACAAAACAAAAACAACCCATAATATACCACTTGTTGTTTGTCTTGGTGAAGAATCCATCGTTTATTGAAAGATTTATGTACAGTGAGGCAATAGAAAGAAATACATCATCTTTCATCAATAGAGCTTTCTTAAAATTATGTTCTAATCATTCCCCGGTCGGGTCCCTTTTATATTTCTATTCAAAAGAAAATGAAAGCGTTAAACTGTTTCAGTAAGATAACTATATATATATAACATATATAAGTATCATAGTAACTGAATGTGCATGTACAACAGTTTACATAGATTAACATGTACTCTGGCAGAAATAAGCATAATATTACATCAGGCACAGCGCACATTGCAAAAAGATGTGTAAATCACACAAACACACACATACACACATTCATCTACACACATGCACATCCACACATACACACACATACAAACACACACACACACACACACACACACACACATTCATCCACACAAATACACATACACATACAAAAAACACACACGCGTGC